GAATCGCCTCCTAGTGGAGTTAAGAGGTCTTTCCTCAACTACGTGGACGACATAAAACAATACGCCGACCAGACTACGGACTCAACAAACTTCAGACATGCAGACGAAGTGTTCAAGTGCCGCGACAATCACGAGTGACCATTGCACAGCTTCGTTCTGGATACAGTAGCAGGTTAATTTAATACTTATTCAGAATCTACACCGACATATAAAATATATGTATGTATGACCAGCGTGCAACGAGTCTCCGCTTCTACTATCCACCTCTTTGCATGCCCAGCTAACCCTACAYATCTGACATGCTTTCTTTATGGTTCATCACAGCACATTTCCTAAAGCTACCGTTGARTGACCTCGATGACAACTTATCTGAACCTTACAATCCTAACCAGGACTAGATAACCTTTACAATAACTACAACAAAAACAGTTGTAATTTCATATCTCCAAATTTTGTCCGAAAATATACGCCATGTGTGAGATATAGCGAAGAGCGTAGCAGAGAGCTTTCGAAGTCTAAGTCTTCACGGACTGCAGCACTTCTACGTTGCAAAGCAGCTGTGGCAATAGTACTGCAACTACTGTGAATTGCTCCCTTCACAGCCGAGGCATGGCCGCTGGCGACACATCAAGTCTCACCAACGATAACTCACTGAATAAGTACGCCACAAGCATCAAACTTTGCACTAAGATGGTGGGACCTTCATAGAGATGGTGTTTATATTTAACGATGGGCATGGTACCGCCCAGCTTCAAGTAAACCCTACATAACACAATTTTCAATTTCATCAGATTCTGTCACTGCCAGCATACAAATCAAAYACTAATGAACATAACAGTATAAAGCTTTGCATAAGTCATGGACTTAAGGTATTTATCTTATGCCCAAGAATTGTCGATGTCGTGTAATAAATTTTCAATGATCCAGACAACAAATATCTGGACAACAGTACATTTGGCTGGTTTTATAACGCTTTTATTAGCTTCACTTGGGTGTATGTACGTATGTATGCATACATAGTTGTATGTTTATGTATATGTGACCTGGTCTACGAAAAGGGAGATAACGTGCGAAAAATAATTTTTTTTAACAGCTGTTAAAAAAAAAAAGAATCTCATCTTCCATCCGAATCAACTAAAAAGTGAAAAATGATTTTTTGGCACCTAAGCCGTCCTTTTCATAGACCAGGTCACATATATTGACAAAATAATCAACATTTTGATAGGCAAAACAGTACCCCTAAAACTATGCATCTAAAAGCAGCAACTTTCCATGCTGTCATGTCAATACAGTTGTCATTGACAACACATCCTTAAAGAGAGTAAAAATACCATGGGTGGTTAGTGATAAATATGGTTTGAAAAGCTAAAGAACATGTATATTAAATTGAAAGCGAAAAATAATTCATAATATAAACGGATATTGACTGGAACGAACATATGTATGTATATTTCGAATTCTCGTTGAACTTAGGTAGAGAAGGTACAAAATATATGCCGATCACTTCTCATACTTGCCCGAAGCGACTTGTCGCGTATAGCCGCARAAACTATAAATATATGCAAATAGTCTCTCCATTGTCGGACGATCTTTATTGTATTGAGGGAGGCGATATAGAATTACCATGTCACTTTCTTCTTTGTCTGGTTTTGCCAGGCTGATATTGAAATTTTTCGATAGACATAACTTTAAAGAATTTAACGAAGTATTTGGGATTGATATTGAMTGCTTTAYAAATTATAAATTAAATTTGAGGTGAGCTTAAAACGCTTCGTCGATCTATGAGGTGAAGYACTTTAAKWAGTTTTTGGTTAACAYAAAGCATAAATATCTGTCCAAGTGAGATACATCGATTTTTGATCCAATTTTTGAACTAAATTCTCCATGATACCAACCATGTTTTAACACAGTTTCCTATGGTCTAACCAATTGGAAACTGTTAAATTCTTGTACCTAAAGTTAGACAACGACGACTATACGTATAGAGGAACTTTGCTGCAGCTGTTGCGCTGTATTAAATGTAAAAAAAAAAAAGGTGCGCAACTTACTTGCATTTATTTATTGTTTTAATATCTATACATATAGTTAATGTTAATTTAGTAAATAGTGTCATTTTTTATTTTTTACATGCAACAGTTTTCTACAATTAAAGCTRTGACCTTGCCATTTTCTAACCTTTTATATCGTATTGCTTATTACATACGCTGTTATTATTACATTATGTTAAAAGTAAATGTAATATGGCTTTTAAACTTTAACAGTTTTTTTGTTCCTGTTTGTAACTTGAAATGGACAGATTCATCTTATGTCAGTCGCTTATATGTATTTTTTAATAAGGACGGCATTAAAAAAATTATTTTCCGTTTTTTTTTTCTTCATCAATCTATAATTTGCTTAATTTGATTAATAATTAATTGAATAATTATAATTGTACGATATTTATTTTCTCTTAAGTACATACAAACTATTCATATATTCAAAATAACTGTTAAACATTTTGTTTTATTTTTATCATTAGCTTAAATTGACGGCTGAGTAATTCAATTGTGCATAAAAGTCTAAAAAACTTAAATATTGATAAAAGTTAATATCGCATTTGCTTATTTAAAACAGTTAAAGAAAAAATAACCTAATTTGATGTTACGGCAAAGTCTCTAAAATAGCAAATATAATAATTATTAATTATTATTAATTACTTTTTTACATATAAATAAATAAATTTCTGTTCGACCTAACCTTTGACTTACGAACTGCTCYGGTTTCATGCTTTTATTACCTTCTTATATCTTTTGTGGCTTAGCCTGTTAAGGATGTTAGGACTCTTTTTAATGACATTTTAGTTACTCGCTTTTTGAGTGATGCTCAACCGTCTTCGATTCGGCAAGCGTTGGTGAGTAGTGAATCAAACAAACAATAAACTATCATAGATGTTCAAACTGCTTTCACGCATGCGCTGTTGTCTTGGGATTATTACTTTGTGGATAAATTCTGCTTTATGTGTCAAAAAAGCCTTTTAGTAACCACTTAGTTTACTAAAAAAAATAATAACTGATTTTAAGTCTTAAAAAATATGTGTTTTCATTTGTCTATTGAACTATTCACAATAGTAAAACTGTTCCAACATATGAAGAAAAATTGTTAGTTTTGAAGTTAGCGGTTATAATAGTTTAATGAGTTAACCACATACYAACTTTTGTAAGAATTCGAACTCGATAACTTTTTTGTTGCTTTTATATAATTTTTTTTTTTTTGTTTTTGTGTTAAGGGGGCATTCTACTCTAGAATTTGGAAAATTTCGATTTTTTCATATATTTAAAGTTTAGACCCTTAAGAACATATCCCTTYTAAAAATTTAAATTATTTTAAGAGCTATAGTTACTTTAGTGACACAGTATCTAGCACGGTAGGTAGGTAGACTCACKTTTTTAAACGCGTTTTTCTCGAAATTACTTTTTTCCATACGGTACCGGCATTATCTCAAGTTCTATACAACCGATTTACTGGAAATTTTGTGTGAACCTTCTTTATATAACCCTTTATCGTTTCTACCAGCATCGTGTCAAAATTTTTAATATTTAAAGGAATATAATATTTAAAGGAATTTCAAAAAAAAAGCATAAAAAATGATTTTTATTTTCAGCCAGTCGCCATT